GACTTGTTCAACATTTTTTATCAGTTTTTTATGCGGTCCAGGTATTGACTCCATGAGAGTTGGGAAGAAATTATATAGCTGTAAAAATAAAATGATAAAAAAAGCACATTCTGATTAATGTACATACAATAATATTTTCCCCTAATTGTAACTATGCAAATGGGGCAATTAAACTGTTTTGGAATGGTAAGTCTTTATTACTCAGGATTTTAATGCCACTTACTTTATGGTTTTACTGCATTCAAGGATAGACTGCACTTCAGCAACTTTTGCAATTATATCCTTTGGACATGCAATTGCAATTCCATAAGATAAGAAAGAAACAGCAGGAACTGGTTATTTAACTGTCTTTTTCACTTTCAAATTTTTTTTCCAAATTCAGGAAAATCCCCTCTAATTAAAAATTAATAATATGAATAAATATTCATTAATAAAATATTATAATAATAAATGTTTTAAATATAACCATACACACCTGTGTGTGTAGAGAGCCCTGAAGCTTGTTGTTTTCATCTATCAAATCGATTAAAGTTAGAAATTTCTTGTCCTCGTAGTCAAACCGATCCCCAAAGACAATGGAGCAGATGATGTTGGAAACAGCATGGACTAGGAAGTTGTTGGGGTCGAAAGGTCGCTCTGCCACAAGAAACAAAAGAAATGTTATCTTGCTTTCAGTATTTCAGGGATCATCTCCCCCTCTAACACTACAGGGTAGTTTCACATCCTCTTGAGATCCAGAGTTTTGCAGTCCTTTGAAAGAATGGTGAAGGGCTTGTCCAATTTATTCTTCTCTTCTTGAAGTGAACTAATTTCACTTCAACTAGAATGGTTTAAGTATCTCTTTTGCCCTGTTCTCAGCAGAACATTTGTCTGAGTGCCTTAGTTCTCTTCAGCTGGCACACACCTGTCTTCCTTATACACTGTTTATTAGAAATGGCCTAAGGATTCCCACAAAATCCCAGTGAAACCACGAGGACTTTGCCTGAACCATGGGTTTAGGTTATTTCATTCTGTTTATGAACTCTATTAGCATAAATTCCATTGTAGAGGCCTCTCCTAGAGGTTCAAGTGCCTGTGATCAAAGTCTGGTTTCAATAGCACAGCTGCATTAACTTCTAAGAAGAAAACTACAGCATAAGAAAAAAGCAAGATTAGACCCAAGAAAGAAGGAAAAGTATAGCTATAGGTTGCATCTCAAGGTTTCAAGAGGAGAAACAACAACATGAAAAGGTATAAAACCCTGAAAGAAAACCAAGGAGTCAGAAAATGTCTTGACAGCATTGAGAATTAGCCTTTTCCGAGCAGCAATGGCACCAACCCTTCTCTGCCTGACTGGTGACTTCCCGGCTACTGAAAACTCAGCAGATGTCTCCTCAGAGGTGGTGAGTGTATTAATGCTGAACTTTGAAGATACTAATCATAGCTCTTTGTTATTTGAACTAGGGGTAGATAATGGCTTTATCCTTTTCAGTGGTATATATCTTGCTTGCAAAGCCTTTTAGTACACAGTAAAAGATGCTGTAACAAGGTGAGCCAGAGTTGGAGGTTTGCACAAGGGCATAAGAAATAAGCATTCCTGTGTAAGTCAAAGGATAAAAGCAATGCAGGTGAGAGTGTTTTCTCTAGTTTGTAACAGCAATGTTTATCTGTGAAGCCAGGCTGAATCAGTGGCTCATGGAAAACAGTGATGCTTCATCATTCTCTAAGATCCATCTGCTTTTTCCGCCTTGCACAATTAGCCCACATTGAGAGCTTGCTTGATGGAATGCGAAACGGAAGCCTGGAATTCAGGCTGGTACTGTGCCACTCTCAGGGGAAGGATTTAGAAGTAACATTGACCTGCATACTACCAGAAAACACATTTATAGGTGGAAACCAAGGGGGTTACCTTATACCCTGCCCTCAGAAGCAGCCCCTGGTCCCACTGGACAGCCCCACCAATGTGGGAGGTGTGTCTACCTAGCGTTCAGATGGACTGGACCCAACCCCAAATATCTGTAAATGAGTTCTCTAGTCACCCACTTCTTCAAGAACTGTTTACATGGAGCTGCAGGAGACAAGGGGAGGAAGTGCATGTTGCTTGCATGCTGGCAGTGTCCAGCCCTGTCTCCATGGCTGAATTCCATCAAACCCTTGGCTTTGTGGCAAAGCTGTTCATTTTGCCACTTCCTGTCTTGTCGCTCAAGCAGAACAGGTAAAATGATACTTTCCAACCCTGTCTCCTACGTTTATCCTCCCCACTGTCACCGTGCCTTTGACTGACCGACTGTCAGGAGTGATAACTTTGCCTGTTGAAGCAGGGAGCAGAAACAGCAACTGTGTGCCCAGTACTCGGGTCATGGATTTTGTGAAGCAGCCCTATACGCCTCATTTCTCATTGCAGAGATGCATGGTGCCTCAGCTGGCACAAAGTCCTTATCCTACCGTGTGTGTTCTTCAGCCTCTCCACCAGAAAATGAGCTTCCTCCTGGATTCGCTCCTCGATGCCCTTTTTCCCCATTCCAAAATCCCGCATGGTGGTGAGTGTAAATCGTCGGAGCTGCTTCCAGGTCTCACCATTGCTAGTCACAATGCCTGACACAGGGAGGAAAAATAGACCTTCATGAGGAAACAGATGTTTTTTCCCTAAATGGGAGCTACACAGTAAGTACTCAACCTGAAAAGACAGCTCTCTGTGGAGTTACACTGCTATTGCTATATACCCAGAAATGTCTGTGCAATTATGGAGGTGACGAATGTGATCCATCTGTCACAGCACTTGGAGTAAAACTGACTTTATTCTCAGAAGAAAAAAACCTATATTAGATATAAGTAAGTAGGTAACATTGGTACTGAATTGGTCGAGGCCACAAGCACATGGCCTTTGCACTGACATAACTATTAAATGTTCTGCTATATCTCTTCACAGGGCATATACTTATTGATAGGATCATTGGAACTGCGCTATATATTCCATGCTATTGCATGGAATATGTTCTGTTTACCCAGAGAAATGACATAGTGAGGACTGACCTGGTGAATAATCTCATGGCCTAATCCTGAGTGTGGCCCATACCAGGTCAGCCTACATTATCTTATCTTTGTTGTGCTGTGGACTTTCCTTTTGCTGGTTCCTTAGCTGCGTATATATTTAGAGTATTTTCGGAAATGGGAGAATGAATGTAAGACCTTAGAGGTACATTTAATGAACAATGTTTTAGCCAGAATGTGAGGTATGCTGAAAATAGAAAGTCAGTCAATGAAGCTGTCCTGGGACCTTAAACAGTTTTCCAGGGGACCAGTTTACTCAAGGGTCCAAGCATGAGTTGGGCTTTTGATCTTTAATTACTGGTTTGTTTGCATGAAAGTAGTAAATGAAATGCACCACTCCCTCCTCCACTGCTCTCTCAGCTGTGTTCCTGAAGCACTGAAAGCATGCGTTTTTTATGCTAACATTACGAAGGACATACCTGTGCCTTGGAAGAGTTTTTCAATCAGTGGTAGAATGCCTCTTCCACTGAAATCGTCTCCTTGATCAATCAGAGCTTCTTTCATAACATCATAACCGTACAGTACCACAACCTTTTTTGGGCCTAAATGTATTGTGAAGACAGGACCATACTTCTCACTGAGCTGTAGGAAAGAGGAACACAAAGAACAACAAGTCTGAATGTTAATCATGTGAAAAGGATTTTGTAGCAAAGGGGTCTGAGCGGTGGTCTGCCATTGTCCCAGCATTGCTGAGACATGACATTGATTAACAGCAGTGCAGAGCTCTTTCAACTATGAATTACAGACAAGGGAAGGGGGAATTATACAAGAAATAGGTGATAAGAATGGAAGCGGCAAGGTATCAAATCCAAATCTGAGAAAAGAAAATACTCCTTCATAGGGCTGGCAAAACATTCTGGGAGGCCTTTCTGCAGGGCATAGTGGATAACAGTTTACATGAGCTCAAAACCAAATTATATACACATATGGAAGCAAATGCCTAAAGGGTTTCTGAGCACAAACAGCAAAGCTGTTTCTCAAATCTCCTGGGCCACAGATCCCTGAAAATTGAGTGAGTGTATCAGCAGACAGTCACAGCATCCTTGCACTAATCATGTACTCCTTTCCAGGCATCTGCTCTTGGCTACAATTGCAGATTCTTGGGCTTTGGGCTATGGGGTCCACTCTGGAATGCTTCTCATGGTCACTTTATAAGACCAAACTAGATGAAATCCTGTGGTATTTTTCATGGTGGGAAGCTGAATCACTTAGTGCTCTGAAACACAGCAGAATGCCTGAGGGTGCTCATGATTCTCAACATTCACAAGCACAAGGGCAAAAATGAGCTCAGCTGAGTATGTGTGCATCTGACGATACACACAGTGACGTCAGCCACCACCACAATTTTGCTCTGAAGAACCCAGGGACACCAGCCCTTTCCATATATCTGTCACCGTATCCTCACAGTCCCCTAAGGAACAGGCACTTCAGATGAACATTCCTTCCAGACCTTACAACACAAAGGGGGTTTTTTGCCAGATGGGTGACATCAGCCAGGGGAGGGAATGGACAGCACAATCCACCTCCAAACTTTTTTGCTTCAACTTCTTAACTTGCTAGTTCCACTCCCAGATGCTCCTACATATCTGCTGGGGACCAGAGGCAGTAAAATGGAGCAGGGTTCTCCCCAAAAGGGGGCCAAGCAATCTTTCCATCTCGGTGAGGAGCTGGGCACAGGAGGATTATAATGCATATTGCAATAGCATCGGGGCCTTGATTGCAAGTCGAGTGCAAATTGCAGTAATGCTGTGAGGTCAGCATGAGACTCCTCATTAGTATGATCATTGCAAATACAGAAACTGACTTGTAATATATAGAATTAGATATATAGATTTCAGAAGCATGTATATCTGGGAAATTTTTTTTTCTGTTTGAGTCTAACATTTGGTCAGTGCAAATTAAGCTTGTGGATTAAGCTGAGACTACAGGGACTGGGCTTTATTTTATATACAATTAAGATAACATAGAAAAGAATGAAACAGTCCCTTACCTTCTTCAAGCTTTCAGGTATGTTCCATGGGTTCAGCTGGAGGAGGTTTCCAACAATGGGAAGTGAGAAGGGACCAGGAGGCTCCTTCCCTTTTTGTGATGTGCTTCTCCATGTGGCCAAGAGAAGAAGGCATGAGATACAAACAAGCAAGAAAATAGTAGTCGTTCCCAGGAGCTCCATGGTGGGCTGAGGCAGAGAAGTCAAGTGTCAGTAGAGCCTGATGTTGGACCTGTAAATCCATGCTTATTTATATGCTGTGATACCAAAGCACGTGGTTGAAATTAGCCAATAGTGTCTTCCTATTCTTGCAGAGATATGAGATTACTTATTAATCTGCTCCAGATAAAAATGAATGTTACTAAAGTTGACTTTTGTGAGTTATGTAATAATCCTAAAGCAATGGTAATTCAGACCCAGCGAAGCCCCAGTAAGGAAACTAATAAACAAGGGAAGAGGACACGTGTAGAGAGCAGAAAATACTACCATTTGCATCTTAAGAAGGGGAGTGGAAACATTAGTGGAATTAAAAAAAAAATAATTTAGTTTCATCACTGAAGGAAGTTTCTGTGTAATAAGAAAGAGACATGACATTAGTCTTAAAGTCACCCTCAATTAGAATCAGTCCAAAAGGAGGTTGTTTATCTCTGCTTATCTCTGATCTATGAAACTGGTTTCAGCATTATCCAGCAGTGGATAATAAAAAGAAAAATGGATAATGGCAAGAAAAATGAAGTGGGTCAAAGAGAGTTGCTCTGTACCAAAATCTCCCTGGAGAGTTCTGTCTAAAACAGCTTCCTTCCCTCCCCCCCCACCCTGCCCCCCCCTCACCACCTCCCCTCTGTTGTTGAGGAGCTTTATGTTTTACAGCCCCATATCTCTAATAAGGGAGCAAAGTCCCCCTATCTGTGCTCTCTGGGTAGATCTTGTCCCACAGAAGAGCCCTCCCCCTCCACCCCATAAACTCTGCTCACACTGACCACTCTCCTGTTCTTTGCTTCAGATACCCAGGTCTCTGTAAAACACCTGGTAATGAGTGAGCATTAAATGGGCATCAGTGCCCTCTGGCAGGGCCTGTTTCTCTTCACACACTGGAGAGGGAGCTTATCCAGATTTTCAGACAACTAATGTCACATTAGGGGGATTCCACCCAAACAACCACATGGGGACCATTTCAGTCAGTGAAACAGGCTCTGCCACCTGCCAGCACTCAGCCCATCCCATTCTCTCTTTTGAGATACATAACCAAAATGATACTGACCCCTTAGATGCTGGGATGGTGGAGAGATGTGTTAAAATGGATATAATCTTATATTATATTCTATATATATATTCTTATATATGCACCTAGATCTCTTATTTATCTCCCAGGTAATGGTAATGGACTGGGAAAGTAATTTTCTTTCTTGCATGAGCTCATTGACTTAGGACTTATATCCACGATGGTTCAATCAGTTTTTGAGTGCTCACGTGCACGGAAATAGCCAGGCATACTGTAAACACCAGACTTTGTTTTCTATGGAGGTGTCAAAATGGGGTTTATAGGATGGGCAGACGTTATCTTTAACTTAATTAGCTGAGTAATAGCAGATTCTGCAGCAGTGAAGAAAGAAACATGTCCCACCTAAATTTAGATATGAAAAAGGTATACAAATCAGCTTGTCTGCCCTGTTAGTGAGGAAATACTGATAATTCCAGGGAATGGGTCATCTGACTTTTCTTATGAGCTTATTGAAGTGTGAAATGAGTCAGTCACTGAAGAAGTTTGTGTCCCCTGACTGCAGATGGAGGCTCACGAAATATACAGATTGACATGTCTGACTGCTAGGGATCTGTTTTGAGGCAAATGACTCTAATTCCCTGTGCATTTCTCCTGGTCCTAATGATGTTTTATATCATCAACAATTTCTGCAAATTCTAGTACAACAGGTACTGCTCTGAGTACTGCACACCAGGGTGTTTAAAACCAGAAGTTGGCAGATGAATGAAATTGAAAGCAGCCTTCTAGGCTTTGGAAGGATGATTATATTGTTGAGAACAGTCAGTTTTACTGTCATCAAGTTCAAACTGAAGTTGTTTGCATTTTCTTTTCCTTTACTTTTGTAGATAAAGTGCCTTGCACTCCTTTATTAGCAGCCTTGAGGCCGACAAACTGCTGCAAAGCCCAATGCACTAGAAAAGCAGGGCTTTGCTCGCAGCATCATCCCACATCCAGACATGGCTTTTTTTTTATTTATCTAATTACTCATGTAATCCCTGAAGGGTTTCAAAATGCTGCTTGGAGGGTTCCAGGAGTTTAACTGGAAAGAGATTTAACTGCCAAAGGCCTTAGGTCACCTCTGATGACAGAAAGATAGGAATTATTTAAGAGTGAAAGGCTATTTTAGTGTGAAAGGATTATCTGGGTATGAAAGACCCAGTCTGATACAGTTCACATTCACGAGAAGCACCTGAAAAGACTCTGCTTTCTTCCCAGTAGAGTAGGAAAGCAAATGCTGGGGCCTCTGATCTTCACAGAATCACAGACTATACTGAGTTGGAAGGGATCCACAAGGATCATTAAGTTGAACTCCTGCCCTACACAGGACCATTGAATCCAACCCCTGGCCCTGCACAGGACCATCCCCAAAAGTCACATCGTGTGCCTGGGAGTATCATCCAAACACTTGAACTCTGTCAGGTTTGGTGCTGTGACCACTGCCCTGGGGAGCCTGTTGCAGTGCCCAACCACCCTCTGGGTGAAGAACCTTTTTTTAATATCCAGCCTAAACCTCCCCTGACACGACTTCAGGCCATCCAACAGGAGCAACAGCAACAATGATGATGACGATGAAAAGGAAATTAAAAAAATAGAAATAAAACTCAAGAAAGACAAGGGGTGGAAATTAAAAACTCACTACTAACCAACTGATGCCCAGCGACCACTGAGCAGTGGCCCCCAGCATATTTCCCCCTAGTTTATATGCTCAGCATGTTGCTATATGGTATGAAATATCGCTTTGATCAGTTGGGATCAGCCATCCCAGCTGTGTCTCCTTGTGTTCTTGTGCAACCCCAGCTTATTTGCTGGCAGGGTGGTAGGAGAAGTAGAAAAGGTCTTGAGGCTCTGCAAGCACTGCTCAACAATCATTAAAACATGCCTGAATTATCAACACTGTTTCCAGCACAAATCCAAAACATGGCCCCGTACCAGCTATTACGAAGAAGATTAACTCCCCCCATCCAAAACACGGACAGCAGGTTGGCAGAGTAGCCTATGGAAATCATCTTTCCTGGTCTGCTGTGAATAGCAACAGCTACTAAACTTACCACTTTTAGATAGGACTTAGTGCCACGTAGAAAATAAAAATATCAACCTCTGCCTTATTTCTGGCAGCAATTTTTACAAAGGATCTGCTGTGATCAGCAGATGTTAAGGTTCAGTGATAACTTGAGCATTCAAAATTTGTGTAACACCCATATTTGTAAAATGCTACATGTAGTTCTAGAGATAAGATGCAAAGCACATTGGTAGCTTTCAGATCACAGAAATTACATTTGACTAGGTAGATCAAGAAACTCGGTTAAATATTTGTGTATGAACTCACTAGACCCAAAATATAACTCAGCTGAAAAAGGATGAGGTCAGTGAAGTTCGTCAGTCATTCGCAATACCTGGCAAACTGCTATTTAGTCATCAGAAGGGCAAGGAAAAGAAGCTGATAACAGCCTTCCCTTGACCTGTACTATGACTCCACCAACAGTTAAACACTATATTGCTCCTATACCCCATCATCTTTCAATAAAGCCAAGGTGCTTAGTTCTAACCTATGGTCAGCATTAAGAAAGAACAGGCACTTCCAATCAAAAAAAGAGTTAGGAAATGGGAAAAGTCAGTCAGGTGCTATACATGGTAAAGAGAGGCACAGAAGTGAAGGCTGTGAGTTTCAAAGAGGGTGTCTGAGGTCAGCAGAGTTCCTGAGGCTGCTGCTCTCAGCTGTCTGCACGAGCAGTGGAGCTCCTCCTGAGCCAGCTGCAGAACCACCATGGTGCACAGCAGGTCATCCAGAAGGTCCATGCCCGCGGAGATAAAGCAGCAAAGGGGCAACATTATCAGCTGTCCCCATCCGTAACACCGTCATCAAAGGGCAGAGGGCCCACTGTGTCTTTCCAAAGGCTGAGCAGGGAATCTGCAGCACAAACAGGACCTGAACACAGACCTGCTCAAACTTGGGCTAGGGCCTTAACTAGAGGCATTCTGAAACCTTAAAAAGTTACTTATCATCATCACAAAAGATCATGGAAACATGTAACTTGCTGGTAGTCTTTATATTCTGAAAATAGTGTCTATCATAAATAAAAATGATAACACGATAATTCACCAAATGACAATTTAAAATTCCAGAAGAATTCAGCAATCATCAAGTAACAAAACCTTTGTTAACACTTCATGATATCCAGTAACTACAGTGATAAGGAAAACAGATGATAAATCATGCATTTAAAATAAAATAAAAAAAAAAATAGCAACTGATGCTGGTGCCAAGTGATATAATGTAGGCCTTCAATATGCCTTTCAGTCCTGCCAGAGACAGAGGGAGGTGGCAGAGTGGCTTGAGAAGTTAAAGGAGGAAATCCAAGAAACAGTGCAGCCCTAAGAAGTGATCACACCACAGTGTCACAGCCAGAGTTGGACCCTTCTAGCAGGAGGATGATGGGGGAAGAGGAATCTTCACTTTGGTGACACCATCTCCCTGTTGATTCTGTAGATAGTCAGGCTACAGCAAGTTCCTCAGTATCATGTGAGAAGCCCCTACTGCAATACTCTCCAGGTAGAACACAGAGAACAGGCCATTGGATAATCTTCTCATCTTCCAGACCAGTTTCCGCTGATGGATTTACATAGTTTCTTACTGTTTGGGAAGTTGGTTTTTGAATGAAGAAAATTCTAGAAACTAGCAACATTTTAACTTCAAGTTTACAGGTAATGGTATCTGTCAGTCAGGCTTTCCTCCTAAACATGCCAAATTACAGCAAGTGCAGTAAAAGTGTAATTCATGTTTCCCTACTCTAAATGGTAAGCAAAGAAATGCAGAGAAACTTGAGAAAGAAGAGCTGTGTCAGAAGATGGAAGAAAGTGAGAGAAATATTTACTACAAGTCAAAGAAATGCAGAGAGCTCAGGACAGGGTGGAGGGCATTGCCTGGGAATGACCTTTCTCTGCAGAAGTCAGTGCCAAACTGAGTAGGTAGTGTATGTAGTGGG